TGCAGCAGCGACGCCATGGCGGCATCCTCGTTGATGGCCTTGGTGTGGTTGCCCGTAGCCATGTGCAGCCATCCGACGACCTCGCGCTTGTCGTGCTTCTGGATGGGCAAGGTGTCGTGGAAGGACAGAGTGCCTGCAGCGTGCTTGGCAAGTAGCGGCTCCAGATCGACCATGGACGGACGGTACGTGCCCACATCCTTCGTCCGTGACGCCTTGGTCGCCTCGACACGCTTGGCAGCGAAGGCGGTCCACGGGTCGGACGTTGGTGGGGGCGAGGTAGCTGTAGCCGCGTAGGCGGACTCACGGCTGCGAGGCTCCACGCGGGGTTGAGCAGTTGCAGTCGATCCAGGAGCTCCCAGACGACTGGGAGACGTGGCTGGTGGCGGCACAGGGTGGCGGCTGTCGATGGTTTGGCCGTTGGCCCCGGACGACGTGCGAGTTGGTGGGAAATCCCGGTTGACGGTCTGTGGCGACCCAGAATCGTGGGTGTCGGCTTCGGTGGCGCCAGGAACCATCGCCACGGATCCCGTGGGTGGTCGTGAGGGTGCCACAACACTCGCCTTGGACGTCGAAGCGCCGGTGGTCATGGCAGCAGCCGTGGCGATTGACAGCGAGGAGCCGCGAAGAACACCGGTGGCGGTCGATGCCGAGATTAGGTCGAGGGTTGGGTCGTACGCGACGCTTGATATCGTCTCGGATGCCCCAGAGGTAGGTGGTGCCATGGCATGTTCACTCACATTATTCGTGGAAGCGGTAGCGGTGGTAGCGGCGACGGAGTACGACCCAGCGGCACCACCAGAAACGACCTGCGGCGACACCAAATCGCGCATTTCAACGTCCATAGTGCCGGGAACAGCCTCAGAGGCTCCAGTGGACAGTGATGAGGCTGACAACACACTCTCCATAGGCGCGGCACGGATGGCGGCGGCGGTAGCTGCGGTGGCGCGCGAAAAACCGTGGTTGCGGAAATCGGCGAAATCGACCCGCGGAGAGGTCAAATCGTGAATTTCCACCTCCATATCATCGGACACCATCTCACCAGGTCCCATGGTAGGTGGTGAGAGTGCATCCATGGCCTGCACCATAGAATTGGTGCCGGCGGCGACGGTAGCGGCGAGCAAGGGGGCGTTAGATTTAGCGCGGGTAGATACCATAGTTAACTCAAGTAAACAAGTGCGTTGTATGAGGCAAAATAGGAACTCCTCGGCAAAATAGGAGCTCAGTTGGTAGAGTGTTTGAATGTAGTGGAAATTAGTGCTGTCTTCAGTACGACTTCGGAAATCAAGTTCGATTCCGGTTGCTCGGATCGCTTTTTTAAAATTGTTTCCTAAAATTCCAGACCCTCGTTTTGGCCGTGTCATCATTTGTGTTTGGATTTACAGTTATCGATAGTCCTTTTGCCAGTTTCTGAGTCTCTCATTGTTATAACGATATAAACTGAATTATCGAATACTTAAGGTGAAGTTACTACCTGTCGCCCCTCCACAGAGCTTTTAAGTTCTTCATTCCAGCCGGCCCTTATCGCCCCATTGACTGACCAGCTTATCCTTGCCCGAGTCAGAAATGCCGTCGGCGTTGCCCGGCCCATGGCCCTCGGTATACTTGGACGGGATGGGCTTCAAAAATGGCAACGCTGCTCGGATTGCACCGCTTTGAGCCGCGGAGTTGGCTTCGATCCAGTCCGCTGCACTGTCGTCAAACTTAGGGTCCTCGGTCACCTCGTCGTTTTCGTCGGCGTCGTTGGAGGGTGTCGTCAAGTCGTCGAGCGTCGTTCGAACAGCTTTGGAAAACGAGTAGCCACCAAACTTGTCGAGGTTGACGGACCACCCCATGATGCCTCCAAAGTCAGCGTACGTCGTCTTGGGTGTGATGGTACCACAACCGCTTCCTTGGACCAGGCAAGTCAACGCCCGTTGCACGGTTGTCGAGTCGGGGTGGTTAAAACCACCTCCGAGAGACACCCCAAACCCCACTTGATGCGGCGGCAGCGGTTGAAACTGCGTCGCCGCCTTGGATTTCGCTGATGGGTTGGTATAACGACAGCCTTCGAGCAACATCAAACTTCCACCGACCAAATGTCCACCGTGCCTTCTGTCACCACTTGGTCATCCGGTAAGACAAGGCCACTATTGCTGCCAAAGTATCGGACGTGGACAAGGTCGAGTTCGTCGCGCAGGCCATCCAAGAGGGTCAAACACTGTGCAGATGATGATGCCACTGCTGTCATCTTGGCCTTGGCGCTCCCACCGCCACGACCGTTTCGAACGGAAGCTGGGCCACCGCCACTTTGCACCAACGGGTAGTACGGGGCCAGGCTGACGTAAAACGATGCGCCAAGTTTCCTCTTCAATTGCTTGACGGCGGCAACGAGGTTTGACACCGCGCCCGAGCCAGCCAACCCCTTTTCGATGCTCAAGTCAATGCCGTCAAAGCCATAGATGGCCACCAAGTCCGCAATGGACGACACGAACGTGCCAACTTCCGTCTTGCTGGCCAGCGCCATCGTTCCATTGGGGCCACCAACGGACAGCACAACTGTTTTTCCGGCGGCCTTCAACGTTGCAATGTCGTTGATGAAGCCATCGATGGATCCCGCCGCAGGGTCCAAGACGAACCCGACCATGCCGTGGGCGTAATGCGTGGCGTATGCGACGTTGACGACATCCCACTCGGTGGTTATCACTTGTCCAAGTGGAAACGTGGCGCCGGTCACGGAGCTGTGGAAGTTGTGCCAATACCCAACCAAAGTAGGTTGCGTTGCAGGTGTTGCTGAAAGCTCCACCGCGGCCTTTTCAGGGCCCAACGACGGCCGAGTGGCCCCGGCGACTGCCAACAGACTGGCAAGAAGTTTTAGTGTGGATGGTAGCATGATGGCACCAATTTTCAAAAAATGGTGGAGCTCTGCATGAAGTACTACAGCTCGACGTTGCACTGCAATCACACAGGGCCCCATGTTGACATTGGGACCGCGGTTCATTTTGAACCGTGATCTAGGGCAAGGGTCAACAGGTGACTGCAACTGAAACACCTCGACACTTTGAATACGTAGGTCTTTTGTCTTTAGACTTGAAGTTTGTTTTGATCGATTCAAGAAGGTAGGAAGTCCATTGAAGTGAGCATCCAGTTTCGATTCGCCGCGACACTATCCTATTATTCACTATGCAACACATATCGTTACAGAGGAATTTAAGGGCACCATACAAACTCGGTGAACTTAACACTGTCCTCTAGAGTGAACGGCAACAATTGCTGGTTGACCGGCCAATAGCACAATCCTCCTTTTTGCCATCACATTGGACTGTCACGGTGGGAGTGACAGTCTTCCCCAGAGTCGTAGGAGAAGGAGTAGAGACACTAGCCAGAAGGAGCCGTCGGTGCAACAGAGGAGCCGGTTTCAGGGGCGGCAGTAGTGGGGGAGGCTATAAGGCAGGCGGCAAATTTCCGCCCACCAAGCAATCCACAGAGCCTTCGTTAATACGGCCAGCAGTATAGCCGCCGTTAGACATGGATTTGCGTAAGATCTTCGCGAAGGGCGTCGATCTGGTGCGAGTAGGGTCCCTGCCCCGAAGCAGATAGTTAAAAAAAAAAAGATCCGAGCAACCTGAATCGGACCGGTGGCCATTTGATTTCCGAAGTCGTACTGAAGACAGCACTAATTTCCACTGCAGTCAAACGCTCTACCATTTGAGCTATGCTCGGAGTTCCTCATTTGCATGTATAGGGAGAGGGAAAGTAGCTCAGTGGTAGAGCATCGGTTTCTTAACCTAAAGGTCATGGGTTGGATCCCCGGCTATTTCCGCATGTATGTGCCAGTAACCGCGTAGCCGATTTTTCTGAACCTATCATCCGGATAAACTCAGTTGCTGTTCGTCATTCGGATAAAATCGTGGCTGATCCGCGTGTACTGTATTGTTTGTTGGTCAAGGCATTATGGCGACGACTGGAATGGACCTGATGGTGGCGGCGTGGCGGGACATGGCTGCCTCTGCAGACAAGCAATATCAAACTGAGAGCATCGACGGTGTTCCTGGCGCATTCCTTCTCAAGAATGTCCTGTCTTTGGATGAATGTGCCCAACTTCGCGCAGCCGTGTCCTTGCTGCACGACGAAAAAGCTGCCATTCTAGTCGACGACAAGAAACCTCGGCGGCCATCTCAGCATCATATTCCAACACAGGTCGATCCATCTGCTCTGGAGGAGATCATGCGTCGTCTGCGTCCACACATGCCGTCTCACGCGGGTCCCACCAACCGCGCTCCGCTGGCCACAGCATTTCTGTCACCGTTTCTGCGGTCGTACTACTACCACGAAACGGACTTCTCCATGCCACATTACGACAAGAGTTTTACGCACCACGAAGGATTGCGCGGTCGCATCTTGAACTTCTCCGCGTACTCGGTGCTGTTTTACCTCAATGGCGGCTTTGATGGGGGCCACACATCGTTTTTCACGGACAAGTCTGCGACCACGATTGCAGCCCAAGTCGGACCATGTATCGGCGATGTCCTCGTGTTCCCGCACGGAAACTTTCCAGGGTGTTTTCCAAATCCGTTTCACGAAGGCTCCACAGTCACGCGGGGCGAAAAGCTGTTGATCCGCACCGACCTGGTCTTTGCCACGACCAAGCAACGGTCGAAATTGGCGCCGAGCGACATGACTGCTGCTCAAAGCAACCCAGCGCAACTGGCCCAGCTTGTTCATGAAGGCCGCGTGAAGCGATTAGGCCCCGGACTGGACGAATGTCGCTGTGGAGATCTGCTGGGGTTGCAAGCTCAAGTGGCTTCAGGTTGGGATTGCCACACCAGTCGAGATCGCCACGGGTCGTCTGGGCTGCTCTGGGCCGCTGGTGGTACGAGCAACACTTCCCCTCACTGCAAGATAAAACTGTCGTCGTAGGTGGTCATTTGGACGTGGTCAAGTATTTGATTGAGTCGTTGGGGATGCGGCCTGTTCAGGATATCCAAGCCCATCGGCGTGGCTACGACGGTCGTTCCGCACTGCATTGGGCAGCTCGAAATGGCCACAACGCAGTGGTCGAATACCTTGTGGTTCACGGTGGGCAATCGGTGGATACGCCAGCCGTGGATGGCACGACACCGTTTCATTTGGCCGTGTGGCAAAACCATCAACGCACGTGTGCGTTGCTCCTCCAATTGGGGGCTGACCCTCACGTTGTCAACAGTCATGGATGCAATGCATGCATGTGGGCTGCCCAGTCGAGTGTCGGCAATGTGGCCATGTTGGACTTCTTATCCAAGTTGCTAGTTGATGTCGAAAGGATTAATGCGAACGGACAAGGGTGTCTGCACAAAGCAGCCCAGCGATGTAACTGGGACGTGTGTCAGTGGTTGTGCCAACGATTGACTGCGCCAGCGCATTTCGAGCCCAACAAGGAAGAGTTGAACGTCCCATCTCGATTGGCAGCGATATCAGGGGACGACAAATTGGCGTCGTTTTTAGTTGCCCAGGAAACTGCCAGTTCGGAGCGATGGGCTGCGTCAGCTTAGATTTAACGCCAAAGGGATCAGAAAAAGTAATAATGTCGACAGTATTAACCATGTACAGTCTGGAACAAAACTATAGCCGCACCCCAAAATTTTCAAGTTGACATTTTTGTTTTTGTCCATTACAGAAGCCGCTAGTACCATTCGACGCATATTAAAAAATGATTACAATCTACACTTAGCATTACTATGGACGATCAATGGTATTTACAAAAAATGATAAAACGTGTATTTTAGTTGGTGCAAAACTATAGCCGCACTT